TACGACTACGACTACGACTAGGACTACGACTACGACTACTACTACTACTACTACTACTACTACTACTACTACTACTACTACTACTACTACTACTACTACTACTGCTACTACTGCTACTACTACTACTACTACTACTACTACTACTACTACTACTACTACTACTACTACTACTACTACTACTACTACTACTACTACTACTACTACTACTACTACTACTACTACTACTACTACTACTACTACCACTACTACTACTACAGCTACTAAAACTAAGCGGGACGGCATATCCGTTGCACGGGCGGGAAACAAAAGGGAAGGGCAGGAGGATGGGGGGAGGGAGGGGATGAGGGGAGGACGGGGGGCAGGGGGGAGGAGGGGAGGGGAGGAGGGAATGGGGAGAGGGAGGGAAGGGGGGGGGGGCAAAAAAAAGAGAGAGAACAAACAAAGAACCATGTAAAACAAATGTTGTAATTGGTGACCCCCCCCCGCCCAAAGGTTGGAAACCCTCCCCACTGGGGGAGGGGAGGAGGGAGGAAGGGGAGGGGAGGAGGGGCGACGGCAGGAGGACGGGAGGAGGGAGGGGAGGAGGACAGGAGGAATGGGGATTTCCTGGGTTTTCGCCATCACGTAATACATATGCAAAACCCAACACTGCCAGGGCATGTGCAGGGGGTGTCCAAGAGGGGGGGGTGCAGATCATGACCAGCGGCATGTGCGCGGCCCAGCGGGGGAGCCAGGGACGTAATGAGATAAGAAGAGGCGCCATGAAATCTGGGGAAAAATCATGGCGCATGCCATGATATCCACCCCCCCTAGTCATCACCCCCCTCTTTGCCGCCCCCGACACACCCTGGCGCGACAGGGGAGTCGCCGGGCAGACAACAGACAACTGAACAAACATGATTGATTTTTTGGCTCGCCCCCCCCCCTCCCCAAGGTTGCAAACCCTCCCCCCCCCTGTGGGGGGGGAGGAGGGAGGAGGGGGAAGGGGAGGAGGGGGGAAGCCAGGAGGACGGGAGGAGGGAGGGGAGGAGGAGGAGTACAGGAGGAAGGGGGGGAGGAAGGGGAGGAGAGGGGGGAGAGGGAGGGAGAGGGGGGGGAAACAGAAAGAACAACAACAAGAGATGTTGTATTGTTTTGTTTGTTTGTTTGTTTCCGCCCCCCCCCCCCCAAGGTTGCAAACCCTCCCCCCTCGTCGCGCATCTGATTGCGCGAGGGGTTGCACAATCGAAAACGTGACCAAACGGCGCCCCCCCCCCTTCTCAAGGCCCCCCCCGAAGCCCCAGGCGCATTCCTGACCATGCCCAACCGACGCACGAGAAAACAGGAAACGGAAACGGAACCGATTCAGACAAAGTCCCCCCCCAACAAAAAATCGAACGACCCACCCATAAAAAAATAAGAAAAGGAACAGCAAACCGAAAAGTCTCAAAAAACGCTGGGGGGGAATTCAGCCCCGTAAGCCCGAGGCCGCATTGCCGCAGGGCAGTGGCGCCGTGCAGGCGCTGCCATGTGGGCCTTCAGTGGAACTCTTTATGGGGCCACGAAGCGTGTGAGGGGTGTGCCAGAATGGGGCGATGGCGCCATGAGGGAGATGTGATTTGACCCATCGGAAGGGCTCCCTCTGTGCAGCCACGAAACGTGTTGGAGGTGTGCCGAAATGGGTGCGGTGCCGCCATTCGGGCGGGGTGTGCCGAAATGGCTGCCACGTGGAGGGCGGAGGCAGGCACGGGCGGAAGGAGGCGGAAATCAGAGAGGAGGCGACGAGGGGCGCTGCTGATTCGAAACCCGAGTCGGGGCATGCATGCAGGAGCGGAAGGCCCGCTGTCAGCCCGTGGTCCTGCATGAACGACGCGACGGCGTCCGCGATCGCCTCCTTCGTGCACAGAGCCCCAGCCCCCTGCGCACCTGGCCACTCCCCGCCGTCCTCTCAAGGAGCATAGCCACGCACTTGCGCGTCACCAGCGTTCGGCTTGGCTGCCCCGATGCCCAGCGCGCAGCCCGCAGCGTGCTGCCACAGGGCTCAGCACGCAGAAAGCTAAACGACGGGAAACGTAGGTCTAGCGCGACACGTCCACCCAACTCAGGTCGGGCGAAAGGGGGGGATAGCAAAGGGGGGGGTTGAGAATCAGCTTACGTAGCCGATTTTCCCGGCGCCTCCCAGGCGCCGGGAGGCGGCCATGCATCGAGGAATGGGCCCCTCGGTGGGGCCGAAACCGGCTGCATGCAGCAGATTTCGCAACCCCCCCTTTCCCAATCCCCCCCCTTCGTTCGGCCCGACAAACCGTGGGCCAACTCGTTGGGCCAACACAGACGTGCAGCCCGGCCGGTCTGAGCACGGCACGTGCTGCGCTTCCGCACGGGCGCATCGGGGCAGCCAAGCTGCGGAGGTCCGCGCAGAGTTGAAGGGGCCCTGAGACACACACACACACACAGAGAGAGAGAGAAACAAATGCACACAAATAACAGGATTCCCCAACATTTATCGTATTTTCTGTGCTCTTTGTCTTCCCCCCCACTTCCCATATGTTCCAATATTTGTCTGGGGAATCGACGGTTAATCGTGTCTGTGTGTTTTTTCCCCTCCTGAAAAGTTCCTGGATCGGCGCTGGGCCCTCCCTGGCGCGCGAGGGGCGCCGCCACGGGGGCCCAGCGCCGACCCAAGGCATCCCTGCGCGAGGACCTCCTCCGTCTTCGTGCCGTCCTCTCTGGGGGGCCCCAAGAATACACCACCACCACCACGTCGATTCCTCCTCTCTCCTCTTTCCAGCGAGAGGGAGGGAGGGAGGGAGGTGGTGGTGGTGGTGTATATGTTTGGGCCCCCTACCACCAGCGAGAGGGAGGGGGGGAGGAAGGTGGTGGTGGTGGTGTATATGTTTGGGCCCCCTACTCTCTCTTGTCCGAGTCCTGGCCGCCGCCGCCGCCGACCCGCGCCAGGCGCCGGATCGCCTCCGAGCGGGGGACTGAGCCGAGAGAAGCCCAGAGAACATCTGTCGAGAGAGGGGGATGAGGACAGAATTATCCCAGAGCGACCCTACCTAGGAGTTGGAGCCCCGAGGAGAGCAATATTAGTAATAACGGTAACCGCCGTCCTCCTCCTTCTCCTCATCGTCGCTGCTTGTGCTTTGCTTTGCTGTGGGGCAAGGAACACTGCCCGGCCCCTTTAAGTCCAGCGAGTAAGAACCCTCTAGGCAGAGCCTAGGTAGGGAAAAACCGGTCTCCAGACCCCTTCCGAGGTCGAAACTGGCAAGTTTGTCGCGCCGCGTCCAGCCGTGGCGACGAGGAGGCCCTCTGCTCCCCCCCTTCGAAGCCAATGCTGGGCCACCTCAGCCCCCCAGCCGGCTCCAAGCCTCCAGGTCGGCCCCCAGACTCCAAATCCGCTCAAAAATCAGTCCCCGAATGCCTCCAAGAGTCCGCCCCGATCCGTTTGCCGAGGCGTCTGCAGCTGGAGCGACGAGAAGCCTCCAGGAGGCCCAAAAAGTTGGTGACAACTCACGGGGGCCTCCTTGCCATCTCGCTGGCTCTTGCGAATCGACGCTGGCCGACGCGAATCGACGCTGCTCAGCGCCCATTGACGCACATCGGTGCGAAATCGGCGCTCTCTCATCGATTGCGAGACGCTGGCGCACGCTGCTGCACTCTGAAGATGGAAAAGGCGAGGACATGCAAGGCCCCCATGACTTGCTGCCGAAACCGGCGTCTCGGGTCGGCCCTCCCCCGAGCCCCTCGGAGACACTTTTGATTCGCGGGTCGAGAGCGCACCTCTTCCGGTCGAAGCTAAGCGGGCCGCGCGAGCCCCTCGGAGACACGCAAGAGTGACCCTGGGCAAGAGTGGCCTTTGGTGCGCGGGCTTGGGGGGTCCGCGGGGGGCCCAAAGCAGGCGCGCAAGACGCCACTGCCGCCTCGCGTTCGGCGATGGGAGCCCCCCAGTGGGCCCGCACTGAGGGTCACTCCGGCGAAAGGTCACTCGTGCGTCTAGTCTGAAGTCGGGCGTGTCCCCCTACAGGGGGATTTTCGACAACCAAAATACCCCCAAAATGCCCCCAAAAGGCCAACAAATACTAAAAAAATAGTCCCCAGACTATTTTTGGACTATGTGTTGACTACTGTTGGGGGTATCTTTTTTTCCGTCGAACATGCCCCCCTGTAGGGCGACAGGCCCGACGTAAGTCTCGTCGCGCCTGGCCCTCCCAAGAGCCTCCAGGTCGGCCCAGTAGCGCCCCAGCAGCGAGGGCTCGGCGCTGTCGCTGCAGCGCATGTGCACCACGGCGCTCGAGCTCAGCGCCGCGGGGCCCTGCAGCAGCGGCGCGGCCTCGGCGCGCTCCCGCGGCATGCCCCAGGAGATGGCCAGGGAGATGAACGGGCCGGGCAGCAGCTCGGCCTCGGCAGAGGAGGAGGAGGAGGAGGAGGAGGAGGAGGAGGAGGAGGAGGAGGAGGAGGAGGTTGGACGAGGAGGAGGAGGTTGGAAGAGGAGGAGAAGGAGGAGGAGGAGAGGAGGAGGAGGAGGCCGATGGAGAAGGAGGAGGAGGAGGAGGCCGATAGAGGAGGAGGAGGAGGAGGAGAGGAGGAGGAGGAGGAGGAGGAGGAGGAGGAGGAGGAGGAGGAGGGGCCCTGGGGCGTGGGGCCCTGGGGCGTGGGGCTTTCTAGGGACGGGAAGCGAATCACGAGATGAGACGTCACCGCTTGAGGAACTCGTCTTCAGGGTCCCAGCCCTCGGGTCCCCCCTCTTTGGGCCGCCGTCGGCCGGCAGGCATCCGGCCCAGGCGCCGCACAGGCCTCGAGAGGAAGAGGAACAACACAAGCATAAACGGTGATCGGTTACACGCAAGAGCGACCCAAGGCAAGAGTGCCCTTTAGTGCGCGGCTTTCGGGGGCCGCTGGGGGGGAGGGGGGGCACATCTGAGCACGCAGAGCACTGCCATCGCATCGCGATCAGCCAGATGGGGAGCCCGGCGTGCCCGCATCAAAGGTCACTCTGGCGAAAAGTGCCCAAGTGTAGCCGATGTCGGAGCTCCGCGCGGATTCCTTGGATCAGCGCTGGGCCCGCCTCCCTGGCACGCGGAGCGAGCCTGGGGCGGTGCCAGAGGCGCCGCCAGGGGGGGGGGTTCCAGCGCCGATCCGAGGAATCCGCGCAGAGCTCCGAAAGTTGATGTCTACAGTGGAGGCCCGACCACAAGAAACCTTCCACAAGAAACCAAACCCTGAGACCCCAGGAAGTCCATTGATTTCAGGTGTGGGAGCGTCACGCTGCCCACGGCAGAAGCATCGCGAAACCCAAGAGACCCAGGGCACCCTGGAGGCAAGCCTGGTGTTTCTTGGCATGGGGCCCCCACTGTATGCAGTTTGCTCTTCTCCGAAGGCCGCCGCTGCTGCCCCGCTCGGGGGCGATGCTGAGGTCGTACCGCGCGCGCAGGCGGACCTCGCCGCCCTTCGCACAGCTGCGGGACCGCAGCAGGGCGTCCCCGATGGTCGCGTCGGAGGCCAAGCGAGGCCGCGACACCCGGATGGCCTTTGGGCGTTGCTCCATGGCGAGGCGATAGCTCAATGGGAGGGGGAGGAGGGGGGAAGCATGTCCCTTTCACGCCCGCTTTGAGGCTCCAGGAGGCCCCTTTCGGGCCCCTCCAGGGCACAAGAGGTGCAGCACACCTTTCTTCACCCCCCCCCCACTGTGGAGAAATCAAGAGGCACCGATCCTGCTGCAGTCAAAACTGATACTAAGGATGCGCGATATGGATGCAAATGCCTTGGAAGGCCATGCCGACACTTGTCGAGCGGGGTGCGGCAAACGAAAGTGGCCAAGGGATGAGCCGAAGGGCAAGGATTCAAGGGTACCCTTGCCCGGTGTCGACTGTACTACCTGGGCCTCTCCTGGGGTGCGTTCTGACCAGGATTTCGAGGCGAACCCAGCCTTGGCGACGAAGGCCCCCCCAGGAGGTCCAAAGAGGCGGAAGCGAGGCAAGGGCAGGGAGGAGGAGGAGGAGGAGGAGGAGGAGAAGGAGGAGGAGGCCATGTCCTCCTCTGACGACTCGCTCCCCCATGTTGCGCAAAGCCCGAGGCCTGGCGGACGTTGGGCCCCCACGGCTCCGGGGCGCCGTTCTCCTCCGGCGGCGCGCACAAAGGGGGCAGGAGGCCGCGCCTTCGAAGGAGGCTGCTTCTTAGGAGGCGCCAGGCCTTACAGCCACAGATAGGCCCGCGCCCTCCAAGAAGCAGGGGTGCTTCTAGGAAGGCTCCCACCCTCCTCCTACCCAGAGGCCTCCCAGAAGGGGTCCGAGTAGATGGGGCCGGAAGATCGCGCCGCATCGCCACTGCACCAGCGATGCATCGGCGATGCATCGCCGACGTCGACGACGCATCGGCGACGTCGTCGTGGAGAAAATCGAGCTCAGCATCGAGCCGCATCGTCGATGCATCGAGGGTGCGGCGCGATCCCCCAACCCCATCCACTCCTAGGGTAACGAACAATGACCTAAGCATTGAAAAACTCTGAGGTCCGCGCGGATTCCTCGGATCGGCGCTGGAGCCCCCTGGCCGCGCCTCCGGCGCCGAGAACTCGGCGCGGACCTCCGAGTTTGAATGTTTATGCCATTCGTCGTTCCCCTAACTCCTAACCTCATCTGGGAGGCCTAGACTTAGGTCGGGCCTGTCCCCCTACAGGAGGATTAAAAACAGTAAACAAATACGCTAAAATACTCAAAAATGACCCAAAAATCGTCCCCAGACTACTTTTTGACCATTTCTGAATATTCCTTCTGTACAGGAAGGAACAGGCCCGACTTAAGTCTACACTGCCCACGAACTCCGCGAGGACCTCCGAGTTTGAATGATTATGCCATGATTCACCCTCTAACTCCGACCCAATCTGGGAGGCCTAGACTACCAGTCGTTCATTTCTAATCGTGCTCAGTTCTAACGTGTTCGTTTCAAATTGTTCCTGGCCCCCTAGTGGCCAGGAAGAGGCCCAGGATAGAACAATTAGAAGTGAAAGGATCTTGCCCCCCCAAACATCAGAGAACTTTCGAAGCATTAGAAATGAACCATGTGTCCCTCCCTCCGCGCATGGCCGAATCCCCTCGGCCGCGCGCAGGGAGAGAGCCGCCCTCCAGCGGGGCACGCAGGGGCCCCCTCGGCGCGCGCCTGGCCGACGACCGGCGCCGCCTGAGACTGCGACGCCGCGGCAGATCGAAGCCGCCCGCCTCGGATGTTCGACGAATGACGACTGCACACCGCAGCGGCCAGGCCCCAAAAGAGCTGGTGTTCCCTGGGAATCCCGCCTCGCGTTCTCGTGTGGGAATCGGTAGAACCAATACGGTCCGTACGTGTTCCTGCTCGGCATCGTTTGCATGTGTGTCAATCGCTTCTGGCGCAACTTGGTCTTCGTGGCCCAGCCCCTGGCTCAGGAGGGTAGGAGGGATTGTTGGCTGATAAAAATGGGGATGGGAGGGTCTGCTAATCGATGTCGAGGTCAATCACATCTAGCCTCTCGAGCATCGTTTCACCGACCCCTATCCCCACTGGCGTGGCATGGGCCCCGCTGGCCGATTCACCCCCGAGATATAGATAGGCGGCTCCCTTCGGGCTTCGAGGGGCATATCCCCAACTGGGGTGGTGGGATGTTGGGGATCGGCACGGGGATGGGCATGGGAATAGGCTTGAGTCCGGCGTGCCCCCCTACAGGGGAAGTTTCGACAAAAAACAAATCATAGTCGAAAAATGCAATAACATACTCAAACAATTGTCAAAATATCGTCCCAATATTTTGTTTTACCAATTTTTTCATATTCCCCCTGTAGGAAAACAGACCCGATTTAAGGAAGGCATCCTTGCCGTCGCTCGGACGTCCATTTCCCGTGCATTTTTCGATTTCGTGCGTGTTTTTTTTGCTCGATGGTCCAGGATGGTCCTCGATGATTCTCGCCGAGAAAAAATGCACACGTCCGAGCGATGCCAAGCATCTGTGAAACGATACTCACCTGTGGAGCCGTCTGGGGGCCTGCGGTGGCCCAGGCCTCCACCCCCTCGGGCCTCGGGGAGACCAGGGGCCGAAGCCGCTCCGCGTGGCCCGGCCACTCGGCTGCACGTCAGAGTGACCCTGGGCAGGAGCGGCCCTCGGTGCGCGGCTTTCTGAGGGGCGCGAGGAGGCCAAACACAGAAGCGCGCAAGACGCTACTATCTTGGCGGTGGACAAACCTCCCTTGAGTAAACCTCCCTTTAGTAAAAACGGCTTAGGACCGAAACCAGCGGACCTGGACCCGCAAACGTGACGGCCGCGACGCCCTCTCGCGAACCGAGAACGGCCAATTCCTCAATCGACGTGTCAGGGTAGGAGGTCTGTCCACCCCCGACTATCGCAACGAGCGCGGCAATCGGGGGACGCAAGCCCAGAAAATAACGGCCACGGCGCCCTCTCGAGAACCGAAAACGGACAATTCACTAATCGACGTGTCACTGTTGGGGGTTCTGTCCACCCCCGATGCTTGTTGAGGGGCGCGAGGAGGCCGACACACGAGCGCGCAAGACGCCACCATCGCAGCGAGCGCGGCGATCGGGGGACCCCCGTGAGCGCGCGCCAGAGGTCCCTCCGGCAAAAGGTCACTCTTACGTGCCGTCGAGGGCCACGGGCCAACGCCCGGCCGGCTCGGAGCAGGGCTCGGAGCCGGCCGGGGGGCCTGCGGGGGCCAAGCCCCCGGGCCCGGCCAGCGGGCAGAGCGGCACGGTCGAGGCCCTGGGCTCGGCAAGTCATCGGGGGCCACATGTGAACCCTTCGTTCGGGAGCTCCCGAACGAAGTGAACCCCACCCTCCCCCTCAGAAATCGTGGGGAGTAGGGGTAGGGTTCACATGTGGCCCCCTAAGTCAGTCAGTCAGTCAAGCCTGGCGCGCAGACGGCGCATCGGCAATAGAAAAAGTTATGCGCGCGACCGGAAACATCAGCAATAGCCCCGGGCTCGGACCGGGCAGAGAAATGCGGGCAGAGTTCGGCAGGGTGCTTCGCTTTTGTCGGCCTCCAGGGGCCGTTTCGGGCCCGGGGACCATGAAAAAATGGATCGGGGGTGAAACACTGCACCAGATAGGTCCCGCGAGGGCACTGGGGGGGACCGATTCTGACTGGATGTGGGCCCATCCCCTCCTCCTGAGCGACGTTCTGGGCCTCAGGCAGTTGAGACACCCCGGCCGCCTCCAAGCAGTAGACACATGTGAGAAGAAATCTTGCGAGAAGAGATATTGGGGGGACACTCTGCGTTGATCTTTGAGAGTCCCAATGTGACCCAGAGCTTCTGGGGGTCCGTGAGGCCATCGGGAGTGAAGACATTTCCGTGGGGCACCTGCTGGCATGACTTCTCATTTGACGTGCCTGCTGCAGGCGGACGGCACCCTTGGCGCTTGGGCTTGGGCTGCCACCATCGCCCGCCGTATGCCGCACACCGACAGGGTCACTCCGGCACGGGGGCACTCCTCCCTTTGGGGGGGGGTCCAAGCCATGCAGAAAGTTACGTTGTCGGGGGTCTGCAGACCCCCGACGTCGGAACTCTTGCATGACATGGGTCTCAAAAAGTCTAGATTCCCCATTTGGACGCCCGAAATGGGCACGGAAAGAATGGGTACAATGCCCAACAACAAATGTTGTCCCAAACCAACAGCGGCCGCTGTTGGGCAGGCGGCCTTCTGTCTCAAATGGGCACAGGCCGCGGCGGCGCGGACAGCGAGTCCTGTTCAAAGTGGACAGGAACTGCTGTTGGGCATCGTACCCATTCTTTCCGTGCCCATCTCGGGCGTCCAGACCCCAGGACCAGCTTTTCATCCTGAGTCGTTTTGTTGACGGCCCCCGAGGCCCGGCAAGGGCACCCGGAGGCCGAGAGCAGCACCAACCAGCAACAAGAACGACCGCCGTCAGTGGTGTCACGAGCCCAGGGGCTCGGGGTCTTGCGAAGAGGACGAAGGACATGCAAACACGAACTGTCGACGGTCTGCGGGGATTCCTTGGACATGCGCTGGGCATCCCTCCCTGGGGCGCGGGGCGCGCCAGAGGCGGCGCTGGAGGCGCCGCCAGGGGGGGCCCAGCGCAGATCCAAGAAATCCGCGAGGAACTCCGAGAAAGTATGCCGATGCAGTTCTGTCGTCTTCGAGCCTTTGGGAAAGACACTCATCGCGATGGGAGGAAGGGGTTGAGAAGATACAGGGCACGACTGTGCAATCAGCACCCTCACCACACGTGATGACACGGATGACATGATAAGTTCTCCAAGACCCCATCCTCTCAACCTTAGGTCGGGCCTGTCCTCCTACAGGGGGATTTTGGGCGAAAAATCAAACATACACCAAACAATATTACACAAGTGCTCAAAAATAGTAAAAGAATCGTCCCCGTACTAATTTCCTACGCTTATGAATTCTCCTCCTGTAGAGGGACAGGCCCGACTTCATCCCAACCCGATGGTTCTGTTCCTGAATCTTGCGCATGGCCGATCCTTGCCCTCCGCCTCCCCGGTCTGGACTCCCATGTACGTGATCAGGCGGCCGGGGCCCGCAGGGTCGTTGGCCGCCTCCCCCTGCACGGCCACCAGCAACGGCGCTGCCAGCCGCAGGCGCCGCCGGGAGACCTCGGGCCCACGTTCCGACTGTTCGCGGTGACGCCCATGACCGGCCCCGCGGTTTTGTGGGACGGATCTCTCAGGCAGTCCGCCGCCTCAAGCGGTGTGCGCTTGGGGCAGGAGCACAGCAAGGCCACAGGAGGGCGTGGCATTGACAGTGCAGCTCCGCACGCGTGTGAAGTGCTCCTGCGAGCATGCAAGAACACAGCAAAGCCCCAGGACAGCGGGGCATTGACAGCGTAACGTAGCATCAACACAGTGGCCAGGGAGACCCCGCGACACGTCCACGACCGTTGCTCCAGCCTGGCGGGTGTGGACAGAGGACGCCTGTAGTGGAACAATCAATGACAAAAACTCTGAGGTCCACGCGGACCTCCGAGATTTTCTGTTTATGTCATCGTGTGCTTCCCAAGGCTTGGCGTCGCGTCACGACTCGCGCTGGCGCCATCTAATAATTTGCCATTCCTGCAGGCCTTCCTGTAAGCATTCCGAAGCGTGGCATAGTCGGCCTCCTCCGCAATGCCCTCCCCCCCTCGGTAGGGCCAGTGGATCAAAAAAAACATGTCTCCGAGACAGCTATCCTGAGGGCAGGGAAGTCCACCTGGGGCCAGTTCAAGCTTTGGGCTCCAGAGCGTCAGCATCGTCATCGTCGTCGACGTCGCCATCGTCGTCGTCGTCGTCGACCCCCTTCAGGGTCGGCGGCATCGGCTGTAAGGCCTTTGCAATATTGTCTCCGAGACGAATATCCTGAGGGAAGCTGGTCCTGGACCCCAGAGAAGCTCCCCTGGCGCCAGTCGGGCAACACACAACGACGTGAACGTACAAAAACTCTGAGGTCTGCGCGACTTCCTCGGATCGGCGCTGGGGCCTCCTGGCGGCGCGCTCCGCGCGCCAGGTAGGGGAGTCCAGCGCTGCTTGAAAAATCTGCGCGGACCTCCGAGTTTGTATGTTTTTATGTGATTGCTTGTTCCCCTGAAGCCGCCCGCCATGTGAGCGCCCTCCCCTCCCCTCCCCTCCTCCCCCCCCCGCGGCCGCTTCCGCCTGTCTCCTCTTCCTCCTGCGGGCGGTTCATTTGCGCTTTCCGTTGCCCGGACCGCCTGAGCGCGCGTGCGGACTGCCTCTGTCGCGCTGCGACGTCAGAAGTTCACCTGTAAAGCCAGTCCTGGACCCCAGGGGAATCCCGTGGGACTAGCTGTCCATCCCGAGCCGATGTTTGACGGCCGCAGGGCCCGCCGAGGGCCCCCCCCGGAGCCCCCGAAGAGAAGGGCAGGGGCCTCCGTGGACGCGCCCCCCCCTCGGGGGGGCGCATTCCCTCGGGCCAGCTGTCCATGTCCCGAGCCGGTGCTTCACGGCCCCAGGGCCCGCCGGGGGCCTCCGAGCCCCCCAAGACAGGGGCAAGAATCTGCGGGGGACGCGTGCTCAGTTGATATAGGAGGCAACTACTGGGAGACCTTCGTCGGAAGGGTTCGGGAGAATTCAAAGGCCCACTGAGGGGCTGCTACGCCGGAGTAGGCCGCGGATTGAGCGGGATTGCGCCAGATTAAGCGGGATTGCGGCAGATTGAGCGGGATTAATCTGGACTAAGCGTGATTTCGGGCCAGGGCAAATGAGTTGCATCCAAAGACCCGGGCAAGAACCTGCAAAGGACCCGTCCTCAGTTGATGTCAGAAGCGCTGGGGGCACGAAAGCGGGAAAACCGCCCTAAGACCCAACGGCCCCTGAGGAGCCCCGCGAAGGCAGTTCGTTTACGGGCTGGCGGGCTCACGCGGTGTCGGGAGCTGGGGCCCGCGTCGTACAGGCCACAGGGCCCTGCCGCACGCCGATCCTGGCCAGGGTCGATGCCCGGCCCAAGGTCGGCCCTACCTATCCTAGGCTAGGATAGGTGCCCCTGCACAGGAGTCTCGAGGATCGAGGATCAACAATCGGAGAGAAGGATCGAACAGGGAGGGAGGGAGGACGAACGAAGACCGAGGATAAGGAGGAGCATCAAAACAACAACGTTGATCCTAAGAACCCAATAAGGCGCCCCCCTGCGTTTTCAACATCCTCGAAAGACCCGCTCCTGGGCGGCGGCATCCAGACCCCACCCCTAACCAACCAACGGTTCGCCAGAATCGATGGGAGGGGCCAGGGCTTGGACTTCGCCAGGTGCTCGACGCAATCCCAGCACTGCCCCTCGCCCCCCCCCCCCCCGCCCCCCACGCCGATCGAGCTGCTCGAACCGTGGACCGGCGAGGGCGGGGCTCGGACTTCGCCCCCGAGCCCAAGGCCCGCTTCTCGCCGCGGGGGCCTCGGACAGCAGCCTCCGCGCCTCCGCGACGCCCAGGGGCTGCAGCCGCTCCTCGGGGGCAACAGGAGCGGCATGGCGGCGTGGGCAGCGACTCCCGGAGCTCCGCGCGGACTTTTCGGATCGACCGTGGTCGCCAGCACCCTCTCACCGGCGTGCACGAAAGAGTGCGATGATGATGATGATGATGATGATGATGATGATGATGATGATGATGATGATGATGATGATGATGATGATGATGAGGAAGAGGAGGAGGAGGAGGAGGAGGAGGAAGAGGAGGAGGAGGCGAGGCGAGGCGATCCGCATAAGGGGGTGGTTCTTGCTGCAGGGGGAAGAGGAGGAGGAGGAGGAGGAGGGAGGAGGAGGAGGAGGAGGAGGAGGAGGGGAGGAGGAGGAGGAGGAGGAGGAGGAGGAGGAGGAGGAGGAGGAGGGAGGAGGAGGAGGAGGAGGAGGAGGAGGAGGGAGGAGGGGAGGAGGAGGAGGAGGAGGAGGAGGAGGAGGAGGAGGAGGAGGAGGAGGAGGAGGAGGAGGAGGAGGAGGAGGAGGAGGAGGAGGAGGAGGAGGAGGAGGAGGAGGAGGAGGAGGAGGAGGAGGAGGAGGAGGAGGAGGAGGAGGAGGAGGAGGAGGAGAAGGAGGAGGAGGAGGAGGAGGAGGAGGAGGAGGAGGAGGAGGAGGAGGAGCGCACGGACCGCGAGGGGGGGGCGAGGGCGGGCCAAGCAGCAGCAGCAGCAGCAGCAGAAGGCGAGAGAAGAGCCCAAGGGTCCAGCGGGCGAGAGCAGGGCCGAAGGCCGCGTATATGGAACGCAAGCAAAGCAAGACTACGCGTGGCAAGCATGATACAATATGCCAGTGAATCGCACTAACCCCAGCTCGGACATTGGCCCGAACATCTTGCTCACACCGTCGTCGTCGACAGGATCCGAACCGGCAGCAACATTAAAATCACGAACGACGCCCACAGCGGCAGCACGAAGAATGTGGCCCGGCCTGGATGCGAACTGTCTGGAGTGGTGCAGCAGGGTCTTCTTGTCAAGGAGCTCGAAGGCGTTGCTGAGGAAGTACTGCCACTCGTCGATGTCCGTATCACAGGACGGCAATTCGATGGTACACGCAGCAGCGAAATCCAATCCGATCTCCGAGAGCAAGTGGAACTCGCCCGCCGCGAACTTGAAGCTGACCATCTTGAGCTGGAGATTGGCGATGTCATTCTGGCACACGCGGCTGATGTGATCGATGTCGCGCAGGCCGATGGAACCGATGTCGTCGCCAATGAAGTCGGTGCCCGCGTGATTGTTCAGTCACTCTGGCAACCGTAGCCGATATCGTGGCGCCAGAAGTCGGTATCATGGCTGATGAGGTCGATGTCATTGCGAAGCTTGCGGGGCGCCGCTAGAGTCGCGTACTCCACGAGCTAGCACTCAGAGAGCACCAGGAAACCGCACGCGGTGCTCACGTCATGCGTCTCCTGCCCGACCCCCTCCCCGATGTAGAACTGTTCGAGGCCACCTCAGTGTCCAGGATTGTCCGCACACGTACAAGAAGAGAATCTTGCACAAGACTGAATCGACAACGAATCGATCGCACCCAAGTCGTTCATGCCGTAGGTGGTGACAGTGTCCTCATCAGCGCTGTAAGGCGCTGGCGACGGTTTGGCAGGTGATGTCCGTGTGGGATGTGCTTTAGTTCGCGTCGCAGGTGCTGCCCATCATGCGGTCGGCCACGCCGTCGTGAGCGCCGAGGTGCACATGGAGCTTAAAAGAACTATGTCGTCTTCGCAGTGTTGATGTGGCGTCTGACGTGGAAAGCGATGTGCGATGTCCAAACGCTCAAACAAAAGCGCGGTTCTCCTATCTATGGCGTAGCGCCGAAATGCCGAACGAGCGGAAACCGTGAGCCCTTGAGGATCACGCCCTTCATGCGAACAGAAACTGCGAAAACATCACCCATGCAAATCGGACACGGCAGCTGCTGCCGACATGTCGGCTCCGGCCATCTGCGCCAATACCATGAGCCAAAAATGGTTACGGAGGGGAGGACGAGGAGGAGGAGGAGCAGGAAGAGGAGGTGGAGGAGGGGGAGGACGAGGAGGAGGAGGAGGAGGACGACGAGGAGGAGGAGGAGCAGGAAGAGGAGGAGGAGGAGGGGGAGGAGGAGGAGGAGGAGGAACGGGGAGGGGAGGAGGAGGAGGGGAGGAGGAGGGGAGGAGGAGGAGGAGGAGGAGGAGGAGGAGGAGGAGGAGGAGGAGGAGGAGGAGGAGGGGAGGAGGAGGAGGAGGAGGAGGAGGAGGAGGAAGGAGGAGGAGGAGGAGGAGGCGGAGGAGGAGGAGGGGGGGGGGACGAGGAGGAAGAGGAAACGGGCGCGATGCCCAGCAGCTGTCTTCCCCTCGGCAGCGCCGGCGGTCGCAGGCGCGGGGGCCGACACCGGCGGGGCGCGCAGGGCACGGAGCGCGAAGACGGCTGGAAGCGAAGAGGGCGGCCGCGGGGGCCCGACCGCCGAGAGTCGGCGGGAGGTGGGCGCGCGGGCGGCCTCGGGGCGCCCCGGGGGCCCAGCCAGTGCGGAGTGCGCGCGCGACAGGAGGTGCAGCGATGCCCAGCAGCCACGCTGGTCCAAAAGCCGAGCGCGGCCGCTGTGGGGCAGGCGACCGTCTTTGGGCTCGAGCGGGTCACGTCCACGGCGAAACCGACAGCGAGTGCTGCTCACGGTGGATGGACAGGAACTGCTGTCGGTCTTCGTCCACGGCCTGTCCGTACCCATTCCAATCATACCGATCCCTGGCGCGTGGGGCGCACCAGGGGCGGCGCGGGAGGTGCCACCTGGGGAGCCCTCAGAGGCAGATAAGACTGCACACATCCAAACTTTCTGAGCTCCGCGCGGACTCCTTGGATCGGCGCTGGGCGCCCCCCCCCCTGGCGCGTGGAGGTTGACCACGCACGTTCGCAGCCGACGGCACTGGTAGAAGAAGATGCAAACAAGCATGAACGTTCGTCGGAGTCCCGCGCGGATTTCTCGGATCGGCGCCGCCCCCCCCTCCCCTCCCCCTCCCTCCCTGGCGCGCGGAGCGCGCCCAGGTCGGCGCTGGAGGCTCCGAGCGGTTCGGCGAGGCTCCGAGCGGTTCGGCGAGGCTCCGAGCGGCGGGCAACCCAGCGAGCTCGTGCTGGAACTTAGAGTCATCGACGCCTCTGCCCGAGGGAGAGGAAGCCACGCAACCACAAACTTGCGGGAGTCCATGCAGAGCTCTTGGCTCGGCGCTGGACCCCCTCCCCGGCGCGCAGGCGGGCCCTAGCGCGCGGAGCTCCGACAGTCTTGTGTCTGTGCAGCTGTCTCTCCTTCGGCGCCTCCACTGGCTAAAGGGGGGGGGGGGGAACGTCGCGCTTGCATCGGCGGTGCAGCGCCGACAGACCGGCTACAGGCACCCGGTAGTGAAGCCGCGAGCTCCTGGGCGGGGTGGGCCATGAGCCACGAGGCCCCCGTCGACGATGCGTGGGCGAACCGGGGGCAGTGCGTCCCCCCCCCCGGAGGCCCAGCCCCCCGCGCCCTACGGTGCCGCTGGCGCAGAAGCGAGGGCGGCGAGCGCGAGGGCCAGCACCCGTGGCGTGCCCGCCCTTCGCCGGGGCCCAAGCCCCAGGGCATCCCGCCGTCGTGAGCTCACGAGTCCAGCGGGCGCTCGCCGCTGGGAGGCGGAGAAACGTCAGCGCACTCGTCGGGAGGAGGCGCGCGGCAGAATCGCACACAGCAGGGGCGCGCGGGCACGCGTCCGCGACGTCGGCGGTGTTCGCCAGGGCACAGGCGGGGAGCACGAAGGTCTGGGGCCCCTGCGGAGCCCCCCGATCTGGCCAAAGCATGCGCGTTCCCAGCAAACGCCGACGGGGTCATCCCCAGTCTGATGCACACCTGCACTTTCGGAGATCCAATCAGATTTCGTGGATGTGCGCTGAACACCCCTGGAGCGCGCCAGGGCGGCAGAGCGCTGATCCTCGAAATCCGCGCGGACCTCGGACAGTTATTGCGTATGCCGTGTGTTGCCCTTCGATGTTCGTCAGCCGAGAATCTGTCAGCCAGCGCCCATGCTGCGGGCAAGACGTATATCCAATACTGCCAATTCGATTGGACTGTCTGTGAAAGGGGCGCTAAGAGGCCGAGGCGCAGTGGGTATGGATAAAAATCTAGCCCCTCGGGGCCACATGTTTATCCATAGCCACTGCGTCCCAGGCATCTGGGAAATGGAGCCCGAAATTCCGAGATGCAATGGGTACGATTGAAAAATACACTCCCCGGACCTCTCTCGGGGTGCGTTCTGACCACGATTTCGAAGCGCATCCAACGGTGGCGACGAAGGCCTCCCCGGAGGCCCTCGAAAGGTGGAAACGAGGCAAGAGTAGCGGTGCGGGTACCTTCTCGTCCTTGGCGGCGCGCGCAAGGGGGTAGGGGGAGGGGGGAAGATTTCTTAGAAGCAGGCTGCTTCTTTGAAGGGCTCAGCCTTACATCTATAGACTAGCCCACGCCATCTCAGAAGCAGGGGCGCTTCCAAGAAATTGTCCCACCTCCCCCCGCCCCCCTCTGCGCGTGGCCAACGTCCTCTGAAAATCCTCATAATATTGCCCGAACGTGCGCGTGATCCTCGAGAATCCCGTGCCGGAAGCTGGGGCTCAGCGGCGCATTGCCGCCAGCGCCGCCAGCCTCGAGCGCCGCGGGCTCCCCGAGCACGCCCGACAGCGGGGGCAGCGCAGCGCGGCAGCTGTCCACCTCCTCCGGCACGCCGAGGCCCGTCAGTGCGAGGTCGCACTCCTTGAAGAGTGGGGCTAGGACGAGGATGAGCCCGGGTGAAGAGAAGCCGAGAATCTCTGAGACCCGGCGGCTCTGGAAAATGCATCGGGCATCGCGGCCTTCCCAAGGCGTTCCGGAACGCTCTGGAACGGATGCGTTCTCGGCCTAGTTCCGTCCAGTTCTTCCCCGTAAACCGGGGGTTGCTAAAGGTGCCCCTGGCCGAAGGTGCCCTCAGCTTTTCGCTTAAGTTTGGAGCCCCTGGGGCCCTGTGGACCTAGTGAGGGGTGCTATGGAAGCCGTGGGGGCCTCCTTGGAAATCCTGGGGGCACCTTGGGCCAGGGGCGTTTCCAGCAACACCCGATCAAAAGGCCCCCCACATGTCGGGGTTTTGGCTTGCAAGCGGGCTACCATGACAATGTGTGTGGCTTCCTGGAAATGCCCCAAAACGGCGAACGACAAACGCGGGGACTTCCACGTAGACGTTTTGAAACATCATTATCCGACATAAACAGGCAAGCAACAAGAGGCAAGGTCCCGTACGAGAGCGAAGCCCGGTCGGATACTGGACACGGAGTGAAACAATCACACGAATCTGCTGACACATTCATGGCCGGGCATCGATACGTGGGAAGGACAAGGGGAAGGGGCCGGGAGGGAGGGAGGGAAGGAGGAAGGGGGGGAGTCAAACTGCAACTCTGTCCCACGTCGTTCGTGTCCTGTCTCTGCAGCGCTTCGGCTTGGTAGGCAACTGTGCGTCGGCAGCGCCGTCTTGTTTTCAAGCCGCAACTCAAATCAACAGTGCGTGCTGGCTCGGATGGAGGAGCTTTCCCTGCAACGGGACTTTGCTTCTGGTGAGCCCCGTGGCCCATTGCCGAATGGATTTGCGAGCTTGTGTTGCTTCGGTTATTGTCTCCAGTCTTCTGTGCATGTCTGGCCAGTCACATGTGTCGAAGTTGGCATACCCATCATGCAGCGCAACATGTGCCGCTGTGCAATTGCAAACTTGTCAACGCCGTTCGCAATCAGGGGTGCGGTCGACGAACCGCACAAGGCGGCCGGCGTGACGATGCTATCGAACAGCCGGGCGCACAGGTCGAAGTCGACGCGTTTGTTTGTCAGCGCCGCCCTGACTGCGTTGTGGACTTGGCCCATGCCGGACAAAATCGATTTACAAGCATACCCCTGCCTCGGTTCTCGAGATCGCCTGGGAACCAATTTCTCAAGTATGCGCTTTTATCAGAAGACCGCATTACGTCGATGAGTTGCCCAAGTGAGTCGACGAAGACCTCATGCGTGTTATCGTACATGTGCTCATCCAGGGTGCCACGCAGGCTCCTCTTGGCGTTCAGCTCTACGCCGGCTCGCTGCAGGTCTTCGTTCAGCACGTTCAGCGCGTAGACAATCCAACCATCCCCGAACCGCGCGTGTGTCGGGCGTCTGCTACGGCACCTGGGGGCGAATTCCAGGCCGCGGTTGCGCAAGCAAGTTTGCCAGCGCCGCATGGCCATCTCCAGTCCGGCATTAACCGGCAGCGGGCTGAGAGCGACACCTTGACGAACACCATTTTTATGAACACATATAAAAGACACAGTCAGTTCCGAGTCGCCTGATCTGTTTCCTGTATATGGCCGACAACAACTTCAAGTCAGGGCAGGGAACTTCCTGTAATTCCAAGACCTCGAACAACAAATACGGTCAAGTGCCTTGATCAATTTTATGCTCGCAAAGAGAAGGAGTTAGTCGATCGCATTGCTGACTCTACCGACTCCAAAATGAGCAGGGCGTCTTCGGCACTGCGGGCCGGCATGAAACCCATCTGCTCGTCAGACTTTGTTCGGCACCAGTTTTTGAGGCGACCGTGGAGAACGCGAGCGAAAATGTCGCATGTCACCTTGAGAATTGCTGCCGGGCGCCAGTTGGCAGGATTAGGCATATTTCCAAACTTTGAGAGCATGGCGAAATAAGTCTCATGCCAAACTTCGCCACCGCGCCCCTGTTGCAATATATCATTTGACGCTACAGCAAGGAATTGTCGAATCTCCGCGCCGCCGTTCCCAATCATCTCTGAATCAACTCCAGGTTGGTCCAGGCACCTGCGTTTTGCCATCTGCTTCATTGCGCGGCTCAGCTCTCCAGGCGCGATCGAAGGGATCGCGATCACGTCGGCGTCCTCGAACGTTGGGCAACACGCGTCGCTCGCTAAGATGTCGCCCATTACCTCTGCAATCTTGTCAAGCGCCCTGCTGGAGATGGTCTCGCGCTGGGGTGGGAGCCGACGCGCAGACAACAACGCAGATACGGCGCGGATGTCACCGAGAATATGAAACAATCTTCTGGCCTTTGAATGGGCGTAGATTGTTGCGCACTGTTTTCTGGATTTCCTTTGACAGCTTTTTCCGCGTCTTCTTGTCTGTGCGTATTCTCCGCTCGTGCCGCTACTCTGTCAATCTACTGCCGTCGGCGAGATCAGCGGTGAGCGGGGGCACCATCGTTGCGGTCTGCCTCTGCGACAGACCAAATACCGTCTCAATGCACGTCAGAACTGTAGGCCGATCCGCCGATAAAGCCGCTTTCGCACTACAGAAAAAATTGCGTGCCTCAAGAGTTCGGGGCCGGCTTCCGCCTCGATCGCGCCACGCGGTCTATTGAGCCTGGACAAGCGCTGCCTCGACTGCTCTGTGGTCTGAACCCAGGTCAAGGCTGTTCACGGCAGATGCGTGGAGCACAATAAAGCCAGGCCCGTGCAAAACAAAACCGATCTGCCGCTTCACACCCAAACTGCATTTGAAAAGGGCACGCCTCTTCCCGAAAACAACCTCCGCCGTCGTTGGCGATTTGCAAATTGAAGCAGCCGGTGATCCCTCCAGCGAGTCTCGGCGCGGGTGCCTGTATTGAACTGCGTGTTGAAATCTCCACCGGTTGTGTAACATGGACTGAAAGACGGAACCCATCTCGCGGCTGTGGCCAAGCATTCGCGCGAACCGTTCAAAGCGTCCGCACGGTATCCAACGCGTGTCACGTAGCAAGGCATGACGTTGAAATTCGCCCCTCCATTGAGAAGACGAGCATCCATAACCCCGTCTCTATTTATAATTTCTTTTCGCGACAGCCCCACCGTAACCCTCGCCACGGTGCAGCTTGCGGTTGCCTTGGAGCTCGCAATCTGCCGCAACCGCCATTGCCCAGCTTAGGCGAAGGAAGTCCCACGTTACGTCGCGCAGCTCGGATAGCATATCCGCCAATCCCTGAGCTGTGCGTACACGTGAAGGTTTACAATAACCCGTCACCTGCATTGGCGGGTCGAACAATGTGCTCGCCGGGTGCTGCCCATACTGGGGGCCCTTCTTCCCCTTGCCCTAACCTTTTAAGCTCTCTGCTCGGCTGTGCCCCGCCAGCCAGCGTGTGTGGCGAAGAGTTCATTACACTCTCCGTCCTCCCTCTGGCACTCCTCCAAGCCCTCCCCGCAATTCATCTGCATAGCCCCGTTCTCCACCGTCGCGTCGAAACGTTCGTGTCCACGTCGGCCCAAAATGCATTCTTGTCGAAGCCCCAGTGAACGAACAAAATCTTCGCCCCAAACAGAATGTCCTGCGGCGCGCGCGTGGACAGGTAAGTCCGGCTTCGCCCAAACTGTTTTGTCTCCACATACGAGGCGTGCCTCCCAGATTTTCGGCACTGCCAGGTCCCGAGCTGACGAGGAAGCGAAGACGCCGAAGAGCATGTTGGAGAACTCGCCCTTGCAAAGCACCTCGCGCGCGCCCAGGGCACTGCACTACCACAGTTGGTGGGTCGGCAACTTCCCGGCCTCGTCCTTCACTTCGAAGCCGATGAAGTGACCGAAGACCGCTGCCGCCTGGTTGGCGACGTCGGCGGTCGTCACGGTAAGCGCATTTTTCTGGAGGTCAAGCTAGCGAAACCGTCCGCTAAACTCAGCGTCCTGTCCGGAACTGGAAGCCACAGGCGATGCACGAGAGCCGACCTATTCTGAACTTCACCTCCATGTCTTTCAAGTCGACCTCCTAGTCGGAAACGGACCGCATGCTGTTGAGGACTGGGGAGAGTCCTGTCGAACAGAATGGAGATAGCCTCTGAAGTAAGCGATTCTGCCTGGGGAACCGCACGGTTAAAATTAAGATAGCGGGCGGTGCCCCGGAGACTCTCGGGGTTGATGGATACACCATCCATCTCGTTCAATGGACTGGCCAGGCGAGCACGTTTCTCTTCATGCCCCACTGGCGTTGAAATGGGGCGGACCTCTGCTGAGCTGCTGGAGCCCCTCTCGCCTCCAAACGGCGTCCTGGGAATCCTCGTGTTATTTGTCCGCGTCTCAGGCCCATCTGGCAAAACAGAATCGGAAAGCAGCTTTGCGAGCTCATTCTCAAGGTCAATCGTCGACACTTGCACACAGTGGTAGAGGGAAGAAAGAGTAGGGACAGGTGGGCACGGTACCTTAAGCAAAGGATCCCTTGAGCCAAACTTCGGACAGGACCGCTCGAAATTCACAACAACATCCAGAACGACGAGACAATACAGAACTCTGTTTTACTTTTCCAATCGACATCCGCTCTGCGAAGTTGGCACCATGACAAATCGGGTCCGAGTAGTTGGGGAGGGAGGATCGCGACGCATCGCCGATGCATCGGCGATGTATCGGCGTTGTATCGGCGATGCATCGGCGATGCATCGGCGATGCATCGGCGACGTCGGCGAAGCAGTGGCGACATCGGCGTCGCGTTCCTCGGGCTCCACATCGAGCCGCATCGGCGATGCATCGGCAATGCGAAGCGATCCGTCGACCCCATCTACTCGACCTCGTGTAGGAGGCCTAGCGAGATCCTGGCGTCGCAATTTCTTCGCAACGGGCGACTGATGTGTTCAACTGCTAACTACAATTTGAACGAGCAGGCAGAAGTAACCATACACTACGAACGGATCCTTTGCCTACCAGGAGCTCGCGTGCCACATGCCCGATGGGCACTGAGACGCTAGAACAATATTCAAAACGAGCCGAGGATATTGCCGATGCCAAGCGAGGGCGGGGGCGCCAGGAGGGAGACAGGGAGACGAGGGGGAGCGAGGGGGGCAGAAGGAGGAGGAGGAGGACGAGCCGGCACACCAAAAACAGCAGTGCACCCGCCCTCGCCAACTGCCAGACACAACCCCGCGGTCGACCTGGGCCGAGTCGGGGGGAGAGCAAGCAGGCGTCAACGGGGCCACCTGCTGTCCAAAGTACGTGGACCTAAACAGCGGGGGCATGAACGTGGGCCGACGTACGTGGGCCGAAGTACGCTGCCCGAAACAAGGCATGAATCGCAGCGGGCGTTTCATGCCTTGTTTCGGGCTCCAGGGCCCTCACTTAATACCGATGCGGCTCGAGAAATGCAAAAGAACTGCCAGGTCTGGGGCTCCAGCCGTGTTTTGTTTGCGATGTTGCATTGTTTGCTCAACGTCGGATCTGAGGGGGGTCCTAAGTATACTCTCGTTGCGGGGAACAACGATGGTAGGACATGCTTTGCAGTTGTCAGCCTCGAGAAGCCCTCATCGGGCCCTGGGAGTCCCAGGGCTCGGTGAGGGCCTCAGGGTCCGAAGCTGCAGCCGTCACAACCGAGTCAGGATGAAAAGCCAGTCACAGGGAAAGGTGCCATACCTCAGGAGAAGCACGTCACACAAAACAAAACACACCACGCTGGAGGTCTGGGGTGCTCCTGGCCTCATGGCGCACCGAGCGCCCCCAGCTGCTCGCGCCATGCTGGAGCCCCTTGGGCCCAGGCCGTGCGTGCTGGCAGCAATGCACCGAACACCGACGAGCCGAAAGCGAAGCCGAAACCGACCGAACCCGACAGGCCTCAGGCAGCCCAGAAGGGCGCAGCGACGCACCAGCACTATGGCGACCGACCGAGTCGGTCCGACCGAGCGCACGCGGCTGCGGCGCGGCCGAACCGACCGAACCGCGGGCACTCTTGCTGTAGGCTTGGAGATGGGCACCGACACCACAACAGAGGGGTTGCGACCACCGGGGGCGGATGATCCTGGATCTTGGTGCTGCTGGTGGTAATCTTTCGGCCGCCTTGGAAGCCCAAATGCTACCACCATCACCGAGACCAGGATCATCTTCCCTCGCTGGAGGCTCACAGCCGATGTTGGAGTTGGTGCCAACCTCCGAGCCTCAGGGCCCTCTGGCCCTCGTGCGGGGCGCTCTGGAGGCCACCGGGGCTCCCCCTGGGAAAGCCGAGGTCTGCCCTGGGCCGGGGCCACCGCCGGGCAACGCCCGAGGCTCCGTCACCATGAAGAAGCCGTCCGGGAACGCCTCGGAGAGCCTCGGGACGACGCCGGCCGCGCTCCACCCCCTCCTCCGCTCCGATCGGCGTCCCTCTCTGCCTCTTCGATCCTCCTCTTCGACTCTTGATCCGCCACCCTCGATCCTCTTCCAGAGGGGCACCTACTGTGGCTCGGGTCGGGCGAAAGGGGGGGATAGCAAAACTGGGGGTTGAGAATCAGCTCACGTAGCTGATTTTCCCGGCGCCTCCCGGCGCCGACGACGCCTATGTATCGAGGCATGGGCCCATCGGTGATGCCGAAACCAGCTGCATGCAGCAAATTCGTACCCCCCCCCCTTTCCCAATCCCCCCCTTTCGTCCGGCCCGAGTTGCCAAGGCCGTCTCTGGGCCTGGCATCGGCCCTGGCCAGGGTCGGTCTGCGGCAGGCTCGTGTGGCCTGGAGGACGCGGGCCGCGGCTCCTGCCGCCGCGCGAGCCCGCCCGCCACCCAGCGAACTGCGCTCGCGGGGCGCATCAGGGGCCGTCGGGGCCCGAGGAAATGTTTAAAGCGCTGGGGGCGTTCGCTTCATATTCCCAAGATCGACATCTAGCAAATTTTGGGGTTCGTGTTTTCTTCCGTTGTGGGATTCTCGTTCGCGCCGTTTTGGGTTCGGGCCCTCTTTTGTACTGCCGCGTGTTCTGTTTGGGGCTGCCGTTGCTGTTCAGCCTTGGTTGACCCATAACCGAAGCCCTGAACACAAAAGAACGCCCCAAGCGTTTCGGGCCCCTCTCTCTCTCGCGGGCTGTATGCCGTTTTGTCATCGGTCAGCCCTGGGGCCCATGGCTGGCCCATGGAGGGTGTGCAACCCTTGAGCATCCGCACCAGCACTGCAGCCGCGCCGACGCGGCGCGGAACCTGTCGCAGAAGGACGCACAAGTTTCGCGACATCAGGGAGCCTGGGGTGGCGGGTCTGCCTCCGGATGCGCCAGACAAGCCACGAGCCGGCGTGCGCGACCGACTCCTCCGTCTCCAGGTCCGCGGCCTTCGCTGCCTCCTGCTCCTCCTGCTCCTCCTGCTCCTCCTGCTCCTCCTGCTCCTCCTCCTCCTCCTCCTCCTCCTCCTCCTCCTCCTCCTCCTCCTCCTCCTCCTCCTCGCGCAGCATCATCATCGGCAATAGCAACAGCAATATCATCGTAATCATCATCGTCGCCGACGTCGTCGGATTCTCATATTCAACATCATCGTCGCAGTCGTCGGCGTCATCATCATCATCATCATCATCATCATCATCATCATCATCACCATCATCATCATCATCATCATCATCATCATCTGCCGCAGCATCATCATCAGCAGCATCAGCATCATAACCATCATCACCATAATCAGCTTCATCATCATCATCAGCCGAAGCAGCATCATCATCAGCAGCATCAGCATCATCACCATCATCACCATAATCAGCTTCATCATCATCAGCAGCAGCAGCATCACCACCAAAATCATCATAATCAGTTCCAGTATCCTAATCATTATCACCATCATCCGTATCATCATAATCATTTGGCTCTGCTCATTTTTCGCCGCCAGAAGAGAAACACATATCCGATAGCACTGAAGGGCCTGCGAGCTGACCAGGGGCATCACACAGATCGGAGGCACCCGAAGACATGTATCAGGATCCCCCCAGCTTTGCTGAGCAGGAGGGTGAAAGGGGTAGGCTTGGGGGCAGCCGGAAAAAACTTGAGCCATCGTGTCAATGGACCGATGCTGCACGGACGGCGGTGCTCCAACACCGCAGACAACATTCCCGAGCAAGCACATACATGTGGCTCTGCACATTTTTCGCCGCCAGAAGAGAAACACATATCCGATAGCACTGAAGGGCCTGCGAGCTGACCAGGGGCATCACACAGATCGGAGGCACCCGAAGACATTTATCAGGATCCCCAATCCCAAATTCTTGGAACTGGCCAGCGGCCTACGCGAAGCGCTTAAATAACAGCTCGCAGATATGTTCGACAAACAATTGCGGACATGGCTGGGCAACTAGAGTCTTAAATTTTCCCACCGCGCTCTGCCCTACAATTTGCTCGTGCTTCTCATTAGTGGCCGAGCACCGCCCCCTACTCATGACGCATCTCTTGATAGTAGAGAGCTCAGGACAGCCAAAAGCCAACAGGGACGTGTTTTTCTGCCACGGCGTCCCATACTGGCAAAAGCCAGACGTATACATTTCGGCCCCGACACGCTTGAGCGAGATGAAAGGACGGGTCAGCCAAATTCTAGAGGCGAAGGGATTCTCAATGACGACGCGCACATTCGCCAGGATGCAGGCACGAGCCAGCGCGGCCGAGGCACGCATCAACGCGTTGCCAAGGCGGACCTTTGCCAAATCCTTGTCACTGAGGCCAGGGACACCAAGCAGCCCTGGCCCCGAATCTCGGAGGGGGGCGGGACCAGCCCCCCCTCTCCGAGCTCTGGACCAGGAGGTGCAAGGGGTCCCCAGCCAGACGAGACGGCAGGCAGGTGAGACCGCGAGCTCAAGGAGGGCCGCCCAGGCCTCAGGTCTGAGGATATCCTGGTTGGCCGAGTGCGCAATGTCAAAGGTATATGCGCGGTAGCCTTTGCTGGCCAGCTCGAGTGAGAGGCGACGGCAGCCGGCAAAAACCTCGATGCAGTAGCCGCGCCTCCTGCGGACATCAGGCGGCGGCTCAACGACGCCGTAAGGTCGCCCGGCAGCGGCTGCAGGGCACCCAGAGCCACCGTCATCACGGCCCGCGGCAGCAGGGTCTCTTCTCGCTGCAGCCGGGCCGCCGCCTTCAAACGTCTCATCGCGGCGTCGGCACTCCAGCGGCCGCGCTGCTTCACTTCCAGCGGCGTCCTAACATTATCCCTCCTGTCCTCCGACGGCCTGCCGTGCTTCCTCTGGTACAAGACGTGCCGTGTCGTCATCCCAAGGCGCAGCTGGGTGGCCCTGAACAGCGCGGCGAACGAGACCATCGGGAACGAAAAGATCCTCTGGCTGGTCGCCAGCTCCACTGCGATCAGCAGCCCCTCGCCGATGAAGAGCCTCGATGTCTGGCCTCTCTCCTCGGGGTGAAGGTTTAGAGCGATGCAGGACGAGATCGGGAACAGCGGCGCCACCACGTCCGCCACCTGAAGGTAGAGCTCCTCCGCGGGCCCCAGGTGGCACGCGAAGCACGGCGCCACCAGCAACGCTGCCAGCGGCTCGCCCCAGTCCAGCTTCACCTGCGCCACCGCGACCGCGCCCAGCCAGGGCATCGGCGGCCGAGTGACCGCTGGCTCCAGGCGCGACAGGGCCAGGAGGGCCCGCGGCGTACGGGGCAGCGAAGCTCCCCCTCTGCCCGCCGACGGGACAGTCACCTGCCAGGCCGCGTAGAGCACCTGCCCCGCGGAGCGGTCGTCGCCGTCGATGCACAACTCCTGCACCAGCCCGGCCATCGCGACATCGGCGGACTCCAGCAAGGTCACCAGTAAGCCCCGGAGGAGGCACAAGGCGGCCCGCCTGCGCAGGGCGCCGAGATACGTCGGCCACGACTGCGCCATGACGGCAGCAAGCGCCATCGCGCTGGCCACCCCCAAGCCAAATGGGCGTGCGACCTCGACGATGTCTGTCACGAGCTCCGGCGACAAGGGCCGCGACCTGGTCCGCTTGGCAAGGCCCCTGGACGAAACAGGGCGCCTCAGGACCGCGGAGGAGCGCGTCAGAGCCCTCCCAGAGCCGCGAGCCACCATCCGCCGCGTTCAGCTCTGACGGGTGCCATCGATGGTGCACCCGAACGCCCCAGCAAGTGTCAGCGCGAGAAGACGCCTGCAGATCCTCAACAATCCTGGGGCGGAGGACCTGCCTTTTTCTGAAGCCCAAATGAGCGATATATTATCCCCTAGATGAAGAAGTGAGCAGCCGAACGACGCCAGAGAACGGAGCTGGTGCCTGAGGGCCGCCACGGGGCCCCTGCCTTCGAGTACCGCGATGTTTTCGACCTCCAGGAAACGAGCTGCGAAGTCGAGCTGCCAATCTTTAGGATCCAAGAGCTCCTGAGGGATCTCGACGAAGATGGGGTTCTCGTCCCAGACCTCTGGAGTCTCGACGGGGCCCACCGGCTTGACAGTGTTGATGCTGTTGAAAACGTCCGAGCCCAAGAGTGCATGATCACGAGCCCTGATAGCGGGGGTCCCAGCCTTGTACCTAGACTCCTCCGTGAATGATCCAAGCGACCTGGCGACCTCGGAGCCCAGCGTCCGCGAGCACACGGCATACCCAGACAGACACGCGCCCGACGAGGTGACTCTGGGGCTCCATGGTCTATCGAGCCGCGCCCGGCATAACGGCAGCATCGCGATGAACCACCTGATCTCCCTGCGCACCGACCCCCAGACACGGCAGCGGCTGACGGCGTGAGCCGAGATGAAGGAGTAGACGTGATGGAAGATAGCGAACATTTCACGACGCAAAAGGCGCAGGTGAGCACAGTGGCCCACGAACCGCTCCAAAGCTTTGCCGCTGACGCGGGGGCGCCGAAGAAGCCAGAGCCCTGCGGCCCTGATCAGCTCCAGCTTGCGATCCGTGGGCACGACGAGCTTCTCGCACCCCATGACCTTGTAGCCCAGAGTGGCGGCGTCAACCGAGGGCCCCGCGATCTCGTGGACAACGAACCCGATGCCCCTGAAGTGATCGACCAACTCGTCTCGCATCTTCCCTGTGCGCTGCGCGTCAGAGCCCACGACATTGACGTTGTCGGCGTGGGCCAGCAGCGCAGGCCGCCCGCCCGACATGTCGGGCGCCGGGCGCTCGTCACTCAAGATGCGATCCACGGGCGCCGCCCGGCTGCAAACGGACTGATGATAGACCACGCGCTGAGCAACCCACATCGCCCAGCTCCAGCCCATCGGCACCACAGCCAAACATGGCGACACCATGCTGCCTTCTGGGAGCGCCGAGATGTCCGACGGCAGCCTGCACTTGCTCCTAAGCAGGCTGACGTCGAGCGCGGGCAGGGCGAAAAAACACTGACAGCTCCTCAGAGATACCCAAGTGGTAGAAGTAGTTCTTCAGATCCGCCTGGGCGGTGAACACCTCCTCCTCGGGGCCGAACTCGAGATCTGCCAACTTGCTCCCAAACGACACGTTCATCTTCGGGCATCCGGCGAAACGGGCGTTGACCGCGCGGCAGTCCCACACGATCCGCAACTGCCCTGACTTCTTGCGAACAAAGAGTGGCGTGGTGAGGTCCTGAGCGTTCGTCGAGTACCTTAGCATGTTCGCGCGGTCCAGTCGCGCCACGAAGTCGGCATACTTATGCACATCTGCGGCCAGCGTCGGGTCCGCGCAGGGAATCACAGGGGCCTCACTCTCACACCGCTGGCCGAACTCATCCTCAGATAGCATCATGCGTGCTCGAAACTCCCTCAGGCATCGCGCCCCCTCGGGGTCGAGAACATCAAATGCGGCTGGAGGCTGCTCCAACTCCTCCGGAACCGCGATCCGCGTGGCGTCATACCTAGCCACAGTACTTGGAACCTCCCCACTGTCGTAGACGAGGTCGGAGCCGAGAAGCTCGCGGACGGCTTCTCGTTGCTGCGAAAAAGAAGGCACTCGAGCGGGACCGACATGCCTCAAAACTGTGCGCTGAGCCGTTGCCGGGGCCGCACTCCTGTCCGCCGCGGGCGGTGCCTGCGCCGAGGAAGATGGCATGCCGTAGAGCTCGTTCAAGGCCTCGATGCACTCATTGGCCCTGACTCCCTCGGCGCGCCTATGCCGTAAGCGCTGACGAACGGAATGAGAAAGATGCGGGGCGTCCGGCGTCGCCCCCTCAAAACTCGGGAGCGGGAAGAGCTCCCTGGGCACGCGCCTCCCCTCGCTACCCTGAATCGGCAGGGGATAGCTGGGGTGGCGGGCAAGGGGGGCAGGCGGGCCCAATCGCCGCCCCCTCGGGCCGCGGCGCGTCATTGGCCCCCGCCGCCTCCGGCAGGCGGCTGGCCACTCCCTCTGCCTCGATCTTTGCCGCGCGCGACCGC